TTGGCCCACAAGAACCCACAAGAACCCATTTCGTTGACTTGCTGACAGTACATTGCTCAATAACGGCGGGTAGGCCGCAGGGAGATTGGCATATGTATAAATACTTCATTTCGTGCGCGGCTGGTTTAGCCGTATGCATATGACAAGAGTATGGGGGCGCTATCGGCCGCCAACATAAGTCGGTTCTCTGTGGACGACACCTATTTTGTCATTTGAACTGCTGACAGTGTTACCCAATGCGGCCAGCCGGCCGTGACTGCCGTGGCCAAGATATGGCGACAAAAGTGATGTGAGTATCAAACAATACATGATTTTACATGTTAAAATTTCTCACCCTCAGAAGCCCGCCAAGTCTGGCCACAACCCCGCCAAAAGCTCGCGGATTCCTGAGGGTCAAAAAATTGGCGGATTGGCAGGAACAAAGTAGCGTCTCTAGTGGGAACAAGGGCAGACGTACGCTCGTTGGAAGGCACTGACTCTTGGGTGTCAAACGGCACAGAAGCATCGAGATCGGGCTTCGGTGCCTTATTGATAAAAAACAACATTTGACTGCGTATTTCTGAACGCTGACGACCGCTCACCGCGTTGAGACGAAGTTGGGGAAGCAATGTAAACATATTCATAATCGCCCGTAGATGGTGGGGCCATCTGTGTTTGAAACACTCACACTGGGCCGATGAACGGCACCAAAACATCAAGATCGGCCGGCGGCGGCTGTTTTTATTTCTAAATTATGTCTCTTAGTGGTTTACATTGCACCCTTATCATACCCCCAGTGGCATCACTTATGCAGGTTGGACGGCCGGGGCTTTTTGGAAGAGCATAGGCCAACTTTCAAAACATATTTGTAATCGTGCGCCGAGGGTGGAGCCATGTGCGTTTAAACCATTGCGCCCGAGCGATCAAAAGAGCAAAAAAAGATCACGTGACGGCGCAACATATTTTTGGTATCCCCTTACAACGGTATATTCCTGAATGCAGGCGGCACGCCTACGCTTATCTAGATGAAAACACACTGCTGAAAAAATCCCACCGCGCACGGAGAATGGGACAGAGTGGGAAAGAGTGGGACAGAGTGGGACAGTGGGACAGTGGGACAGTGGGACTGTGAGTGTTTGGTGGCACTGACGAGGGCTATCGATCGGTTTCGAAATATCGTGCCCTGCCGGTGGCACCATTTTGTTTGACAGGATCCTGAGAGGCATTCATGAATGCAGGCCTGCCAGAAGATGGAGAGGAAGATTGCGAAGGAGCCAGGGAGCTACCTGGTACGATAAAACAGCCGCAGCTGCGGTAGAGCCGGTGTGCTGACGATAGGACGATTTCGGGACAAAATGGAGCCAACTGTGTTCAGTTACATTGCGCGGCACTTTCAAACCATGCTGGAGGTATTATAAGTTTATTTTACATTTGCCTTTGGGCTGGATCGGAATCATGCGATAGAAATGAACGTTTGTGGTTGGCACAGCGGGCGGTGTAAGCATGTCGCGACAGGTGATTGGTGAATGTTTGAGCCTTTGCATCACTAGGCAAGTTATATTTCGCGGTAATAGACCTGCTTTGTAAGCGCAGCCCCGCACCGAACTTAGCATACAAGTAAAAAATTTCCCAAACACAAGGTACCATTCGAGGTCATCGTGGTAAACGCTGTTGTGGCGAACTGAAAGCATTTGAGCGGCATTTCATTTAATTTCGTGACAATGGCTCATACGTTTTTAACATTTTGTTTTTGACCCACGTCGTTTTCCCAGAAGTGCTTCAATGCGCTCCCGGATGAGGTGGAGGTCAAATTGATCCCCTCACATTGATTTCCGAACGACGAGGTAGGTCGCGCCAAACTTTGCATAGTTGAGGGCAATTGAGTAGCGGTTCTTTATGCATAAAAAATCAGATATACCTTGTAAGGCCACATGCCTGTGGCATGTCGGTCAGGCCATAGCTGTCAGCAAAGGTAATTCCAAGGGAATCATTCAATCTGTTGCGACAACGGAGTGCAACACGAAGCCGTACATATCTGAGATGTTTTTTAGACATCAGGCAGTTTAATTTAGAATTCAGACAACTCAAATTGACCTCAGGTTATGTCTGCAGGTCAGACCGAGGTGAAAACCAATCTGCTTTTTACTGGACGGCTTTCGACATGGGAGTTTTTACGCTCATTTCGAATTCCGAGGTAACAGAGACGGCACCAAAGATCATCTTTGGTGTTTTTTAAGGTAAAAGGTCACCGACCTAAATTGACCCGAACTGACCTGTCGGATTTATGAACACGCCACCCAGCGTGTCCCTTGACGGCCGTTAAAACTTACAAATCCAAATGATCTCGTCAGTTTTTTGCCACTATGACCGTAAGGTAAAAAGGTCACTTACCTGAAATAAGCGCCAGCAACCTTTGCTTAGAACAGGTGTCTAGGTCCAGGGCGGCTGCATGGGAAAGCGTGGGAACAGTTTGGCCACAAGCTGGAATTTGACCTTATTTGACCCGCAGGCCATGACCTAGGAATCCTAACGTTTGACACGAGTGAGTTTGCATAGTCTACCCAGCCTGTGAATTTCGGTGTCT